ACGTTGAATTGCAATTATTTTGCTAACCAGAAAACCTAGTAGCCACTTATGATGGACCTTAAATACATAAATTGACATGAAAACGAAGCACGCGCGCAAACATATTTATTAATATTAATAAAATGCTTTCACAAAATGGAAGAAATATTATGTTGACTTCCAATTGATAAACAATGACATTTCACACAATTTATTTATTTACTACTGTATCCATTTACTTTAATAAATAAAATATTTTATTTTTCATCTCTAAATTTAGAAATGTGAATGAAATGGGATGGGCAGGGGCGAGTCCACCCAAGGGCTAGGGTGGACTCAAGCCCCCCCTCACTTCAAAATTTTTCTCTACTATATATATATAGTGTGTTTATACTATATATATATATATATATATATATATATATATATATATATATATATATATATATATATATATATATATATATATATATATATATATATATATATATTTTTTAGCCTAATCAATTATATTATTTTATTCGGTTATTTTTACTCTATTTAAGCCAATTTATTCAAAGTCCCCTCAGTTCTCAGAGCCTCCTTCATGTCTGACTTGTCTATATTTTCTATTTCCCAAATTCGTTCTCGTTCTTTGAAAAAGGAAAAAAAACTTTGTTTTATTGTATAGTTGTACTAATGGCGGTTAAATAGCTACCCGCAACTGATCAAACGCACACCGGCGATCAATTAACGTTTGACGTCTTTTCTTTCATCTTAATTTTCATAATGAATATTAATTAAAAGTCCATTGTGTAAATTTCATAATCGAGTTGATATTGATGTTTCTTAGACTCTTATAGCAATTTAACTTTTGCGATTCACGGGTGGTATTATTTTCAGAATATTGAAAATGGAGGAAAAACAATTCATATCAAATTTTTATCTTACATTTCTTTGATAGCAAAAAAAATTTCGGGGACTCTGCCCCCGAACCCCCGATATGTTTAAGCCCCCCTCACAAACTTTTTCTGGCATCGCCACTGGGGATGGGGCATCATTATTTTCTAGCTAGGCAGAACATTTATCTTAACATAATTGTTTGCATATATATTTGCCCATGACTTTTTTCAGACCTGCAGTATAAAAGCAATTTTACCCATTCTATTTTGCTCCCAAGCTAACAGAGTAGAGGCTCAAATCTAGCTACTCAATACTTCGACAAGGAATCGTTCTCGAAGCTCGTTTGTTAACATACGAAACAAACCTGGACACATATTTTCGTTAAGTTAGTGGAAACTCTGCTAATGTTTGAGCTCAAATAGAGAAAAAAATGACAAAATCGTACAAAAATCAAGTAACTCGAGCTCGATT